AGTGTGTTTAAAATAATATTCTATTTATTCAAAATAATACAAACAAACAAAAAACTTAATATAATAATAAAATTTTTATTTATTTTTTTTAAAAAAAATTCGGATAATATATAAAAATATAAAATTAATAAATTAATAATTATGTATATATTTATATATAAAAATTCATGTTTATTTTAGAATTTAAACAAAATATAAATATTTTTTTTATTTTTTTTCTAATTAGTTAATATGTTATAGATTATCAAAATTATTACTAAAATTTATTATTTTATATCTATTCGAATATCTTTTTTATATTTTCTAAAGTAGATTCATGATATCTTAATTTAATAATATGAATAGCTGCATTTTAATAATCTTATTAATCTAATAACTAATTAATTTTATTTATAGTTTCTTTTTTTAATTAATTAACATATTATTCATGTTAATCCAATTCATCTTTATTATTACAATCTTCTATTTCAAACCTAATTTCCATAACTTCTTTCAAAAAATATTCATCATCTTTTATGGTTTCTAATAATTCATCTTTTTTACCATGAGTTAATAAATTAAGCTATAATAAAATAATATTTATATATTTTAAAAATATAAATTAAAATAAATATATATATAAAAATAAATTAAAAATGCATACATATATATATATATATTTATAAATTTATTTATTTATATTTTTATATATTTATATATTTATATATTTTTATATATTACTAAATATTCACTTCTTTGTAAATCATCTTTTAATGCTTTATAAGCTTCATTTATATACATACTGTAAGTTTCACTAAATTTGAGCATTTTCTTTTTTTATATATTAATTAATAATTCACCTTTTATAATATATATAAAATACATCTGATTTAGAATGATATTTATCAGGATGGAAACATTTTTGCAATTTTTTATATTCTTAGTCTAATTTTTTTTCATTTATTTCAAATGTTGGTTTTCTTTTTTTTTTTTTAATTATTATTATTATTTAAATTATTATTATTTTACAAATTAAATAATTTAAAATAATTCAATCCCGCAATTCCTAATGTTGGATCTTATAAAAAATTGCATTTTCCGCATTAAAATAAATTAGTTTGGAATATTTTACTATCACAATTCCAACATTATGGTTTAATTTAATGTATTATTAATTTTTCATCTTTTTATACCATATTTTTTTTTTATTTTAATTTAAATTATAGTATTTTTATTGAAAATAAAAAAGGCTTTTTTTTCTAGAGACTATAAAATTTCTACTCTCAATTAACATATGTGGTATAAATCTAATCATTTTATATATTGTTATTATTTCTTGGATATATATATTTTTTTTTCTATTGAAAATAAATTAAATTTTTTTCTTTTTTAATTTTATGCCTATTTTTATTAATATATATAAAAAAATGCTAATTTATTTTAGAAATTTATTATTTATATGTTTTAATGTAAAAAAGAATATATTTTATAAAAAATTATTAAATATAACATTTTTTTGGAATAATAGTATATTTATAAAAATTAAATTTTAAACAAATAAAAAAGAATAATCGAAAAAAAGTTTAATTTATAATTAAACATATATTAATAAATTTTTAATAAAATAAAATAATTAAATATTTATATAATATATAAATAAATAATTATTATATGTTTTTTTTTACTTCTTCTTTATGTTATATAATAAAAAGTATATTTTATTTCATATTTATAATAAAAATAAATGTATTTTTTCGTAAAAGAATATTAATTTATCAATTTAAAATATTTAATATATAATTTATATAGTTATTTATATAAAATTTCTATGTATATTTAAAATAAATAGAATTAAATTATCATGTAATTTACAAAATAAATAAATACGTATTGTTATACACTTTCTTTTAAAATAACATTTAAATTAGAAAAAAATACTTTAATTTATATATAAAGATTTAATTTAATATTTATCCCTTCCCCAAACATTAAATATAAATATTTCATAAAAAATTAACATATGTCATAATTTTATAAAATATAAACATTTAGAATAAAAAAGAATAATAAAGAAAAAACTTAAAAAAATAAAGATAAATAAATATAAAAATTTTAAACATTAATTTTTTGCTACAAAATAAACAATAAATATAAGATATACATAACGAAAAAAAAAAAAAATTCGAAAAAAATGGAAAACGATGATGATTATGATTTTCATGACTACTCATATATAAAACTAAAACAAGATTACGAAAACCGTCCTTTATTTTTAAGCCCTGATGGTTATATATTTCTAGAAACATTCAGTCCATTATACCGTACAGCTTATTAATTTTTAATATCAATAGCCGAACCTATCCAAAGACCATTAACTGTACATAAATTTGTAATGAGTAAATATTCATTATATACAGCTATGGTATTATAATACTAACCGCAAGATATAATATTGTGTTTGAAAGAATTATCAAAGAATCGTGAAATTCCTTAAACAATAATAGACTATATATTATAAAACACAAAAAACTACGGATCAGCTCGTTTGTTTTTAGACGGCTAGAATTATTTTTTAGACATAGAAAGTAAAATATGGGAGTAAATAAAATACGATAATCCTTAAATAAAGAATCTAATTTGTGAAACTGAATTTTCATTTGACAATATAATTAAAGAAAATAAAGAATTAAAAGAAATACAAAACGATTTAAATATATTTTTTTTCAAAAAAACAATAAAAAAATAACCATAAAATGAATCAGATGATGAAGATAATAATAAAGATAATTTCATAAATTAAATAATAAACTAAAAAAAAAAAACAAATAAATCCTTCAAAAGAATACAAATAACCGGTGATTATTTCGAAATAACAAAATCTGTTATAAATGCAAATGTCCCTTTGATTCAAGAATACGATTTCTAAAAGTAGGATTCCTTTAAATACTTATAAATGGATATTTAACCGAAAATGAAGATTCGATATTACCAAGAAAAAGCGTTAAAAAATATTTTTATAGAACAAAAAGCTCGGTCAGGTTTAATTATATTACCATACGGTGCTGGCAAGACTATAGTAGGTGTGATAGCTATAGAGAGAATAAAATAGAGTACAATAGTTATTTGCGATTCTGATGTTTCAGTAGATTAATGGAGAGATGAATTAGAAAGATGGACTACAATAAGTAGAAATAAAATAGTAAGATTTACTGGAAGAATAACTGATGAATGGATAACTAGAGAAACCGTAATTATATATAAAACTAAATGTAAAAAAAATAATAAAAATATTATATATATATATATATATATATATATATATATATATATACATATTTATTATAGGACGATCCTATTATTTTATTAACAACATATTATATGTTATCAAAAAAAAGAGAAAAGAATCAATCTTAGACTTCTAAAAAATAATAATATATTTAAACTATTTAAGAAAAACAATGGGGAGTATGCATTATTGATGAAGTACATAAATTACCAGCAAATACATTTTAAAACGTTTTAAAATAATATAAATTTCACTTCAAATTAGGACTAACAGCAACCCCGTATAGGGAAGATGAGAAAATAAGTAATCTATTTTATATGATTGGTCCTAAATTATATGAAGAGAACTGGCATGATTTGGTTAAATAAGGTTTTTTGGCAAGTCCTTATTGTGTAGAAATACGATGTAATATGGCTGAATACTGGAAATAATAATATGATAGAAAAAATGACATTTCTTAAAAAAGATATTTTATAGGCGCTTAAAGGGAACTTTTACATACTTCGAATCCTAATAAATTTAATGTTTTGGAGTTTTTAATTAAAATACATGAAGATAGAGGTGATAAAATACTTGTTTTTTGCGATAGACCTGTAGTTTTGGAATATTACTCCAAAATTTTAAAATATCCAATCGTTTCAGGAAATGTGTAATAAGATGAGAGAAAAACAATATATAATTTATTCAAAAATACAAATTAAATTAATACTATTTTTCTTTCTCGCGTAGGTTTTTTATATATTAATTTTAACTTTAATATATATTAACTATATAATTAGGAGATACTGCTATTGATCTTCCTTCTGCTAATGTAGGTATTTAAATAGGAATACATTTTAAAAGCAGAAGATAAGAAGTTTAAAGATTAGGTAGAATTATGAGAGCTAAAGGAAATTATGATGGATAATATAATGCTTTTTGGTATACATTAGTCTCTAAATGTACAGATGAAGTCAATTATTGTTTAAGTAGATAAAAATGCTTAATTAATTAAGGTTTTAAATACGAAGTTTTGGATGAAAGTGACCTTCCATTTAGAAAATAGCCATAGAAATTTAAATGGATGAATAAAATTAATGAATAAGATTATTTATATGATATTTTAATGAGCTAAGAGGATAAAATTGATAAGAAAGTCTCCAGTTCAAGTAGCTCGGGAAGTGATTCAGAAAATAATGTTCATAATATTCAAATTTAAACAAAAGAAAGTAATGTTTTGTTCTCTAATTTAGCTTTGTATAAAGAAGTTATTGTTAAAAAATGATTTTTTGTTTGTTTTATAATATAAAAAATAAATAAACAATTATATAAATGTATTTTATAAAGAATGTTTAAAAAAAAAAAATATATATATATATATATATATAATTTTATTATATTACATAAATATTAACGAGTTATGTTTTTTATATACAAATTTTTAATTAATTCTATTATAAATTTAGAAAAAAAATTAAATATTATATTTTTTAATAAATTAATTATTCTATAAATTAAAAAAAAACAAAAAACAAAAAACAAAAAACATAATTTAAAAAAAAAAAGCAGAAAAAACTAATAAACATGAAATAAAAATAAAGACATAAAAAAAAAAAAAAACCACGAAAATTAATATTTTTATAAAAAAAAAAATATTTATAATAGAAATAGATATAAATACATTATTAAAGAATTAAAATATTAACTTTTTGTAAAAAACAACTTATATATGTATATAAGTAAATATTTTTTTAAATAATAACAAAAATAAAATCATAAATCACCAACTCTTCTTCTTCTTCTTCTTGGTTAAGGCTTTCCACAAGGACAATTATCATCTCCTTTTTTATTAGTCCATTTGCAAATAGATCCATCTTCACATTCACATTCTCCGTTATCATTATCAGTACATTTCATCATTTTATATGTACATTTGAATTCTTATGCGATTTACATGCAATTTCCTTGAACATATTTTACAGAAATACCTAAAATTACTAATAAAAGACATATATATAAGAAAGTTTTCATTTTTTTTTTAATTTATTTCTTTCTATTTTTTATTTATTTAATTTTTCTTTATATTTTTTTATATTTTTGATAATATATTTAAAATCTTTTATATAATATGTTTTATTTTTAAACATTATTAAATTTTTATATATAATAAGATATTTAAAACCCGATTTTCTTTTAAAAAAATAATAAAATATTGAACTACATTATTCTAAATTAAAAAAAATAGTAAAACAATGACTAAAATAAAATAATATATAATATATAAAATTCTAACAAAAAAAATACAAAAAAAAAAAAGCTCATCATTCATCATTCCCAAACATGAATATTTCTATCACTTCCCACACTCCAAATATTTCCATCTAAAAGTACACTAAAATTATTACACGGTCCTTTATGTCCTTCCAAACTATGTACACACTACTTTATATTCAAATCCCAGAATTTCACTGTTCCATCAGCACTAGAACTGACTATAACCTTATCTGCGAAAAGTGCTACTTTTGTAATTTATGAAAAATGAGACTCCATTTTGGCAATAATAGACCCTGTATGTATATTCCATACAAAATACACTTATCATAACTTCCAGATACCAAAGTGATATCATCAGGTAAAAAAACGATTGTAAAAACGTAATCTTTATGTCCTAATAATGTTCTAACTTCATTAGCATTATGATTTTTTTTATTAATTCTCCACACTTTGATACTATTATCTGACGATCCAGATACTAGACACCTCTAGTTTTCAAAAAGGGAATATTTCTTACCTAAAAAAGTCCTAAAAGGTTAACATAAACACAAAACTTCATTACTATGTCCGGATATAGTTTTTAAAGTTTCCCCACTTTACAAATCCCAAATTTTAATAGTATAATCTGCACTTCCACTAGCCATAAATTGTCCACTTAAGTAAAGTAAACAAATAACCCCACAAATATGTCCTTTAAGGCTTTTTATTAAATACTACTGAGAAGATTATTATTAGTTAATATCTTTTGGAGTACTTGCTATTTCATCCTATTTAGCTAATTATTAAGGAATATTCCACATTTTAATAGTTTTATCGTAACTTGCACTTATTAAATACCCATTAGGGAGACTTATTAAATCCCTAATTCCATCTGTATGACCTTTTAATATCAAATAACATTCCATATTTTACAAATCCCATAATCTAATGGTATTATCTTCACCTCCAGTAGCTATTTTAGAATTGTTTTAGAAACTACAAATACAATAAATAGCCCTTTAATGTCCACTGGGAAAGTCTTAAGTTTATTAAATTTTTCGAATTTGGTCCATTTTTATAGTCTGTAGAACGTTTTGGGGTACTTAGTTGCTTATAGTCTAGTTAAATAAACGACTTTAGCTAAATGAAGAATTTTCTTGTAATAATGATTCTTAAATATTTGTTTAAAAAGAATCATTTTCTTCAAATAATTTTTATTAGTAGTTTATTAAATTGGGAATAGTTTAAAGTATTTTTTCTTAAAATGAACAACTTTAAGTCTATAAGGAATCTATAATTTCTTATTTTACCTTTATTTCCCTTTATTGTGTTTATAAAATATTCTTTAAATGAGGTTTTAAATAAACAGTATTCTCATTTCTACTTTTTTAATCCTAAATATATATATATATATATATATATAATAAATATTACTTCAAATAGTGTTTCTAATAAATTTTAAAGTCCTTTATGTGTTTAAGTTTCATATGAATTAATTAATTATTCAAAAGATTAATTTTTAAAAAGGATTGATTATTAATATTATTCACAAACTAAACAATATAAATTAGATGATTTATTTAAAAACTCTTCTTATATTTATTATAATTAAGAAACAATACTTCTCTTCATTTATTCGAATGCTTCTTGTATTTGTTCCATGATTTTATTTATTTAAATAGTAAACTTATTTTTTTCTTCTTCTATATGTTATTTATAATCATTTTCTATATTTTTCCTTTAATTTAAATATTTGTATATCTCAGGATCTGAATTTAAGCCTTTGGCATCTTAAATATTCTTTTGCTAATATAAAAATTCTTCTATATCTATAAGTTCTTGTTAATTACATGGAATTTGATTCTTATGGATACACGATGAGCAAAATAATTAATTAGAAAATTAATTCGAAAAATTAAAAAATTCTACTCGTTTGTTTGGATGTTAGTTACAATATGGGTAAGAAGGAAGTGTATATGACATTTTTTAATTTTAATATAATATATGTTTGTTGGTTTTTTTTTTATTATTATTATTATAATTATTATATATTAAATAAATATATGTTTTATTTTTTATTTATTTTTCTTTTTGTTTTGTTTTTTATTTAAATATAAATACATATACACAATTTTTATATGAAATTAAATCAAGAAAATATAAAAAAGGCTTCAAAACAATTTTCTTATATTAATTAAATATTAAAATAAAATTATAAATCGATAATGTGAAAAAGTTTTATTTATTTTTTAAAAAATAGCCTAATATAACTAAATCTATTAAAATGAGTAAAATATTAAAGCTATTCAAAATTTAATTTTATTAAAAAATTTTAGATAACTTAATTTTATGGTATTTACTTAATATATTGAAAAAAAAATTAATTTTTTGTAAAATACATAAAAATTATATTAAATTATATTTTTTTTATTTAGTATATATCTATATTTTTTTTTATTATTACTAAGGCTATTTATCCATTATGAAGTTATAGGTTATCTTACCCTAGGGAAACAAAAATACATATATATATATAGAATACAAAAAAATATTGTAAACAATTAAAATTAATAGATAATTGAAAAAAGGTAATTTAATATAAATATTAAATTTAATATGAATATAAATTATTTTAACAATTATAAAATAATATTAATAAAAATTATAAATTTTTAATATTTATAAAAGCTTTTATAATATAATATTATATTTAATTATAAAAGCCTAATAATAAAAAAAAATTGGGAATATATTATATAATATAATTATATATTTTTTTTGATTATTAGTTTTTTTAATTTTGTTTATTTTAAGAAAATCATCTATAAAATAAACAAATTTTAATAATATTATTAAATTAACAAAAAAAGTTTAAATAATTTCGCCTAAGATATTGAAATATTGGATGTTTTTAATTATAAAAAAATATTTTTTATTATAATAGTATTTTCGTATATATTTCTAATTATATTTAAGTATATATATTAGAATTGCTATTAAATATATGGAGCTGATATAGTTTTAAATAATCATATTAAATAAAAATATTTTAATAACGAAGATAAAATAATAAATTAAATATACTGAGTTTTTAAAATTCAGATATATTATAAAGATAATAATAAATAATTCTTAAATATTTTCTATTATTAAAATTAAAATTTTAAGCAATTAATTATATATATTGATATAATTTTAATTAAATAAAAAAATTAAATATTAATAATAATTCGAAACATTTATATTAATAAGACTTAAACATACAACATTTTTAATTTTAAAATTTTACCTTTAAAAAATCAAATAAAATATATTACAGTTAAAATAATAAACATTATTTTTTATATATAATATAAATGTATTTAAAAAATATTAATGTTTTAGCTATATAACAATAGTTTAATATATATAATAGTTTTTATATTAATTTATTTTAGACACTAATTAAAAAATATTAATTGCAAATAGGTATTATCATTTAATACATTATTTATTTTAAATTTTATATCTTATATATCATTTTCATAAATAAATTAATATGATTTATATAGTTTTTATCAAAAAATAAATATATATTTTTTATAATTTTTTTTTTTAAATATATATATAATACGTATTTCTTAAGAAGAAAATATTTATTATTTTATTTTTTAAATTTATCAAATTATAAAAACAAAAGAATTATTTATGGAAATTTTTATTATATATTTATAATATATAAATTTCTATTTTACTCTTCTTTTGTTTTATTAATTTATTTATTTAAATTTTTTTAAAAATAATAAATTTTTTACTGATAAGTTATAAAATTCCTTTAAAATAAATGAAAAGCAAACTAAAGAAAATATTATAATTATTTAAAAAAATAAAAAATATACAAACATAAAAAAAATAGGTGTGAATAAATAAATTAGTAAAAAAACAAACTAATAAATACAATAAATAATATAATTTTTCATTAATTTAAATCAATTAAATAAATATGAATTAATATTTAAATTAAACATCATAAATATGATTAAAAAATATGAGAAAGCTTAAATGAAAATATAAATTTTTAATGTTAATTCAAATTTAAATTATAAAAAAATAGAAATTTAAAAGAAATAAATGTTATACATTTTATCATCATATTATAATAAAAAAAGAGGTAAATAAAATTATATAAAAATAAGAGTGTATATATATATATATAAATATTATTTATTAAATATAATAATTTATTTTATAATATATTATATTTTTAATTTTTTTTTATATTTTTTTATAATTTTTTATTTATAATTATTTTCTTTTTTTCTTTTAAAATTTAAAAAAACAAAAATCAAACCATATTAAAAATAAATAAATAAAAAATTATATCTATTTAAAATAAATGATTTAGTAAAATAACAATATTAAAGATTAAAATAATTATTATTATAAAATTTAATATCTTTATACTTTATAATCTTTATAAATATATATTTTTTTTCTTATACTATTTTATCAATTTTTTTTTATAATGTTTCATTATTTTTAATGAAATTAATTAATTTATAATATTTAATAAAATAAAAATAATATAATAATGATAATTTATAAAAGTAATTTTATTTATTTAGAACTTAATATTTTACTTTTAAATTAGAGGAATGTATAAAAGAATATTTTTTTTTTTTTAGTAAAATAATTTTGACTTTTAAAAAATAAAAGGAGGAAAAAATAAAAAGTATTAGATTTTAATAAAAAAATTTAATATACGCTTATATAATTTATAATATAAATAAAAATAATATAAAAGGCTTTTTTTACTTATATATATTAAAACAAAATAAAGACACTTAAAATAAATAAAAACCATTGAAAAATAAAAGAATTATTATACCGATGAACAAAGGAAAATTCTAACTCAATCAATTAGTTTATGCAAAAATATAAGGATATCCTTGGTGGCCAGCAATTGTAAATATAAATATAAAAATAAAAAAATATAATGTAAAAAAAATCATATAAAAAGATTGGCTAATAAAAATAAAAAATTGAAAATGGCATAAAAAAAATCGAATATTTTGTTAATTTTATCGGTCATAATTCATAGTAAATATTTATTAATAAAAAAATAAATTTGATATTTAACTAATTTAACTATGAAAAAAAATAAAAAAAAATAGCTCCATATTAAATGAAGAAAAAATATAAAAATATAATACTAAAATGGTTGATTAAAAATATAAAAAAAATAAAAATTATATCAAATCTTTAGAAATCGCCGACCAAATAAACCAAGGAAAATACACATATGACGGTAATATAAAATAATAAGAAAAATATAAAAAATAATAATATTGTTAATAAAATAAAATTAGATTGGAAAACAAGTTTTATAGTATAAAAATTAAACTAGAAAAATGCTATTAATAATAGCTTTAGTACATCTAATATTAATAATTTAAGTACTTTAAGCAATTCTGAATCTACAAAATTTCCTTAAATTTTGGAAAATTTATCTGAATAAGAAATAATAAGCAATTAATAATAATTAAAATCCAAAGTGGGTAAAGTGAAAAAAATAACCAAATAAAAATTAAATAAACCAAAAAAGTCGCATAGTATAAAAAAAATAGAAAAAAAAAAAATCAAAAAAGTTCAAGATAAAAATCAAAAAATAATTAAAATCAATCAAATAAAAATGAATATAATATTGATTAAGAATTTAATTAGTTATTTTCTACACTTATTAAATAATTTGATTATTAAAGTACTTGCTCATAAATAGAAATTATAATAAATAAAATTTCTTCCTTTTAAATTTCCGAATCGAATGTTATTGATATACTATAGTAAAATATAGGAACATTTTTAATGTGTGCATAATAATTAATAAAAGAAAATAAATAATTAAATGATATATGTGATTAAAAATTGATTAATTTAATAAATACATTAAGCTATTTGATTTAATAATTATAAAAAACATAACAAAAAAGTAATATATATATATAAATAAATACATTAATATATATATATAAATATATATATATATATATATTATATATATGTATATATGTATATATGTATATTTATGTATATTTATATATTATTTTATTCTTTATTATAGTTTTTTGACTACGATGAAAAGCTTATACATATAAAAAATATAATTTAAATTTAAAAAGTATAAGCTTAAAATAATGAATTAGATCCAAAAATAATCAAAGAAGAGTCAAACATAATTAAGGAAGAGCCAAACATAATTTATGAAGAGCCAAACATAATTAAAGAAGAATTAAACACAATTAAAGAAGAACCAAATATAATTAAAGAAGAGGAAAATACATTGTAGAAGAATAAATTATAGATAATGTAAACTAATAAGAAGAAAATAAAAGAAGTAAAAGTAATAAAAATAGATACAAATATAAACTAAAATTTGAATGATGAATAAAAATTAATTAGAAGGAAAGTATGCTTAAAAATACTTAAAATCTTAAATAATTTTCTTAATGATAATTATCTGAGTTAAATCTATGCAAATGCAATTGAAAAAAAAATAAGAGTTAAATATCCTTAAATGTGTCTAAATTATTAAAAATTATGCAAGAAACTAATTGATTTAATAAAATAAAAAGTACTTAATTTTTTCTTTAATTTCTTTTACATTTTTTTTTTATTTTTTTCAGGAATTTAAAACTTGTAAAGACAACATTGAATAATATATAAATTAATAAGATGAAGAAAATATAGAACTTATGTAAATTTAAGAAACTATTTAAAATATAGATTAATAAAAATAAAATTTAATTAACTTTTAATAATTATAATAAAATTAAATTATTTGCTAAACAAACTTTTGTTGAAAAATAATAAAACAAACATTTTTAATAAAGAAAAATAAAAAAAAAAACACATAAATAATTATTAACTAAATAAAAAATAAAATTAATTTTTATAAAATAATGCATGTTAACTAAATAATATAAAAATTTACAAAATATACATATAATTATATATATATATAAACTTATAAAAAACAAAATAAAAAATAGTTTTTGACAACGTTGTATTTTATATTATTTTCTTAAAACATTTATCAATTTATTTATAAATTTAAAAAAAATTATTTTTATAAATAAATAAAAAAAAAACTTCCATATTTATAAAAAATAAAAAAATGGAAAATACATAATAATACTTATTGACAAAAACAATTCCTTAATTAACCTGCGAAAATTAAAAAGTCTAATAATTTAGCAATTAAGTGGATAAATTAAGGGATGATTTCGAAGATATGAAAAGAGCCAGAGAGGAGGCAAAAAAACAATTGGAAGCAAAATTTTAAGATGTATATAGGTTTTTTTTTTTTTTTTTTGTGTGTGTAAATAATATATAAAAAAAAATAAAAGAAAAATTTAAAATACAAGAGAGTTTTAATAATCTGAAGCTAAAAGAATTAATGATACATTATTAGCATTTGATTCGAAATTCGAATCATTAATATAAATTGATAGAACGCATTTTTAAACTTAACATGATAATCATAAGGCTGAAGTATTAGAAAGATTTAAAACAAACGAAGAATAGTTACATAATCTAGATATAAAAATAGACATAGAAAGAGAAGAAAGAATAAAATAATCAGAAGAAGCACTAAGGGAAACAAGATAATAACTATCATGTATTATATATTATTTTTAACTAAAAAATAAAAAATAAAAAATAGAACTATTTATTATTATAAATAATGAAAAAATCGATCGAGTATAAAAAGAAAAAGAAATATTAAGAAAATTAGACGACCATGTATTTTTTATTTCATAAATTTTAGATAAAGGAAAAACATAAAGAATTTTATAAACAAAAGATTTAAGAAATCATATAGATTTTGAAATAAAAATACAAAGAAAATATAATGAAGATTTCCATATAAAAACTATTGATGAATTTAAACATGTCATTAATAGTATATAATTAGAAATGGATAATAGATTTGATCATTAAAATTAAAATTTAGATAATTTATCGAAATTAGTTAAAATAATGTAGGATACTTTAAAGGTTATCGGAAAAGATAGTTGATATATATTATTATTATACTAATTTTTTATTTTTGTTAATTAAAAAATAATTATTTGAAAATTATTAATAGAAAAAATAGAAAAGGGAAATTAATTATTTTTAATAATAAATATATTTTAAATTGATTAGAAAAAAAAAAAAAATTTTATTTTTATTTTTTATTAATAAATAAAAAAAAATTTATATAATCTTTAATTTAATAAAATAAAAAAAAAAAATTATAAAGATTATTTTATTTAACTTTAATTTAATTTTTATTTATAATAAATATATTTATATTTAATATTTTAGAATAAATTATTTTTTAGGTTACTCAATATAAAAAATTCAAACTTAATAAAATAAAATTAAAACTTCTAAAAAAATAGATAAAAAACTAAACTAAACGAGAAATCAATGAAAATTAAAACACAGAAGCTAATAATAATAGCAAAAAAAAAAAAAAAATGTTAAAATAATATATATATATATATGTGTGTAAAATAAAAGTAAATAATAAAATAATATATTTTAATAAAAAATCATACTATTTAAAAAATAATGTAAAAATAAGTAAAAATCATTGATAATTAATTCCTATAACAAGATTTTATTAAAACTGATCAATCCATTTTCTATATAACAATAATCTTAAATCGTCCTCAAACTCTTCCTATCTTATAAAGGCTTTAAAAAATAACCGACTTACTAATATGTGCTGATGGAGGAGCTAATCGCTTATATGACCTTCCCGAAATTCGCTAATAATTCATTCCAAACGCAATAGTTGGAGATTTAGATAGTTTATAAGAAACAGTGAAAAATTTTTACATTTAAAAAAATGTAAAAATATAAAGATATGAAGGATAAGATGACACAGATTTAGAAAAATCAATAAACTTTTTATTCGAGAATTAGTTTTTAGGATATATTGAAAAAAAAAAAGTTTAAATTACTATAACAGGTGCTTTTGGAGGAAGACTAGATCAAACAATAAGCAATTTATCTAATTTAGTAAAAATAAATAAAGTCTTTATTGAAAAAAATGTCTTTTAAAGCTTCAATATTACAATGATGGATGAATTTTCTATTGCAACATGTCTTCTTCCAGGAAAATATTATTATAAAAAGGCTAAAGGTTACGAATATTGTAAAGGCGTCGGTATAATCCCTTTAGGAAACTTTAATAACTCTAAAATTAATACTAGGGGATTTAAATGGGAGTTAAGTGGATATTAATTTGAGTTTGGTAACTTTATAAGCACATCTAATGAGTTTTAAGAAGATTTTGATGGCATTCCTTTTGTAGAAAATGAAGGTATTGTTTTTTTAACTACATCTATTTAAGAATTATGATTATTTTTTATTAATATAAATTTTTAATTTAATTTTATATAATTTTATTTAATTTATATATTTAATTTAAATAATTAATAAATTTAATACCATATTAAATAAAAAAAATAAATTTATGAATAAAATAATATATATTTATATATTTATTTATATATTTATATATTTTATATTTATATATTTATCTATTTTTTTTTATATATATAAGTATAATTTATACAATAATTTCCTTATAGGAAAACAATCATTTTTATTTTTATTATTTATTATAATTTTATAATATATCACATTTTTAATTTTTATTCATTATTTTTGAAAAACATATACAATATATATTATGGAAAATATTCTTAAATAAATAGAAACATAAATAATTTTACATAAATAATAAAATAAATACTTAAATTTAAATGAATAATTAATATTTCCTCATGGATTAGATGGTTTACATATATGGGAAGCGGGCATTACATTAGCCCGTTACATAATCTTAAACCCCCATTTTTTTTATTAAAAGAAAGTATTAGAATTGGGAACAGGAGTAGGAATAGGCGGATTATCAATATTAAAATTTTGCGAAAGTTAAGAAGTACACATGACAGATTATAATGATAAAATATTACAAAACGCACTTAATAATGTAAATAAAAATGGAATATAATAAAAAAATCATAAGATTTATAATTTAGATTGGTTTAATTATTAATAATTTGATGAGAAATTTGACGTTATTATTGGATCTGACATTATTTATGCAGGTGCTCCTCTAAAAGAATTATATATGTTAATATGCAAATGCTTAAACTTAAATGGAAAAGCTTATATAATAATTCCTTCTTAAAGATTTAAAGGAGAAACCTTTATTAATATTGTTTAAGATTTTGGGGAATTTTAAATTGAGAAATTCGATTTAAATGATAAAATTTATTAAGAATCTCCACTATTAGATGAAAATTTGGGATTTAAAAATTATCCAGGTATTAAAGAGTTATAATTTTGGGTTTACGTTTTTACTAAAATTGTTTGAATTTAATAATAAATATACTTCCTATTTAAATTTAATATTTGGAATATTATAACTAAAATAAATAAATTTATTTTTATAAAGAAAATATTAAATTAATTTTTTTTTATTATATAATATATTTTTGAAAAATAATTATTTTTATATATATATTGTAATATAATAATATATATGTATATTTAATTTTAATAAATAGATTGTTTTAAAATATATCATAATGATATATTTTTTTTTACAAATAATTTTTAAAATAAAAAAAAAAAAAAAAATTATTAATATATAAGTATATGAATTTTATGTTGAAAATAATATTTAAGAAAAATTTCTTAATAATTTAAACACAATCAATTATAAATTATAAAAATATAGATTAAAAAAATAAAAAATATATAGATATATAGATATATAATATATATATATATATATTATTATTTTTTATATATTTATTTATATGAATATAAATAAAATAATTAATTTATCTATAACACACTCTCTTTTCTTTAAATAAGAAAAATAAAGAAAAAAAATATATTAATCACGATATATATATATTAAAAAGAAAATAAACTTTTTTTTAAAAACAAATTAAATAAAAATTATTAAAGTATCTTATTATATAAAAAAAAATTAAATAAAATAAATAATTATATGGGAGTTCCAGGATTTTATTCGTGGCTATCGCGTCGATATCCATTAATAGTAAACTAACTAAATTCAAAACTAGACGTACCATACATAGATTGCTTTTATCTTGACATGAACGGTTTAATATATAAATGTACTAAAGAGGAAGACACTGTCTTTAAAGATTTACTTTTACAAAAGAACATGTAAGAAATATTTACATTAATATTCAATTATATAGATGAAATGGTAAACCTAGTTTAACCAAAAAAAGTGCTTTATTTATTTTTAGATGGACCCGCTCCTCGTGCTAAATAGAATTAATAAAGGACCAGAAGATTTTTATCTGCCAAATCACATAAAGACCTAAATAATTCATTAAAAAATTGTGGTATATTAGCCGAAAATTAAACCATGTAGAATAATGCAATATCTACAGGAACTACTTTTATGCATGAATTAAATTAATAGATTTAATTTTATATAAAAAATAAATTCAAGTAAGATCCTTAATGGAAAAACCTCGAAGTATTCTTTAGTGGATCTAATGTTCCAGGAGAAGGAGAACATAAAATCATTAATTTCATGCATTAGTATTGCTCTTCAGATAATTATGACCCTTCTACTACACATTGTATATATGGAGTTGATGCTGATCTAATTATGTTAGGATTATCAACTCATATTAAATATGTTTCTATTTTAAGAGAAGAAATGAGACATATACCTAATGTAAAATAATTTATATAAAATAAATATTTATTTTTATTTATATATACATATTAAAATTAATAATTAAATAAAAAGATAAGTAAAGCAGCTAAAAGAGAAATATAAATAAATCAGTTTTAAATAATTTATTTAAATATAGTACGTGAGTATTTAGATTTAGAATATAAATAATTACAAGGAGAAATGAAAAATTTAAAATATGACATTGAAAATATAATAGATGATTTCCTACTTATATGCTTTTTTATTGGAAATGATTTTATTCCAAGACTTTATTGCTTTAATATACGAGAAGGATAATTCGAAATTCTCATTTAAATTTATAAAAACTACATAAAAGAAGCAAAAGAATATTTAAATAACATGGGATATATAAATTGGAAAGGAATGTATGAATTAATAAAATAAATATCTAATTATGAGAAAGAATTTATTGGTGACAAAGCTGATGAATGCACAAAAGAATATAATAGATAATTAAAAGGACAAGAAGGAGAAGATAGTAATATAAATATAAATATTAATATTATTATTTTATATAGATTTTAATGTTGATGATATTAACAAAGATAAGGAATCAAATAATAATAAATAAAACGAAAATACATTCTAATAAGAATACGACAATATAATTATAGATTAATAAAAAAATGTCTTTAAAGAAATTAATAAAGAAAAAAAATTTCTTGAAGATATCTAAATTCTATATAATACAGAAGCTGACGGATTTTAAGCCAGAACATATTATTATAAGGAAAAACTACAACTCGATTTTTCTAATTCTTAGCATTTTAAAGTTTTAGATAATCTTATAACAAAATATATTGAAGGTTTATAATTTGTCCTTTTATATTATTATAAAGGAGTTCCTTCCTGGAGTTGGTACTATCCTTTTTATTATGCCCCTATGTCTGCTGATATATCTTTATATATAGAATATAAGTAATCTATATTATCATAAACAATCAAATTCGACTTATCTTAACCTTATTAGCCAATGAAATAATTAATGTGTATAATACATCCTGAAAATGCCAGTTATTAATAAATATTCATATATATAAAGATTCATAATTTATTATATATATTTATATATAAATATAGGTCTTTTACCTCCAAAAATTGCTTAATTATTAACTGATTAAACTAATTCTCCATTAAGAAATCCTATAGACTATTATCCTGAAGAATATCGCATAGACCCATATGGAGGTGTTTTTGCTCATGAATATATAGTCGTTTTGCCTTTTATGGAGTAGGAATTAATCGAAAAAGTCTATAATAGTATTAATTGGGATTCTGAAATAAGCCCTGAAGATATCTAAAGGAATCTTTTTGGCAGAAATCTTAAATTTTCCTATAATGAAAATTCTCCTTTATTATAAGTTAAATCAATTTTACCTTTATATTATTCAGATTTCGAAGTCCATATTGATATATAAGAATTCGATATTGACAAAATCTATAAACCTCCCAAAAACGAGTCACAAAACGCCAAAACTTCCCGTTTCCCTTCCTTATATGCTAAAAAAATAGTTCAATCCACCCTTAAAAAAACTGAGAAAGGCCAAAGACTATTCCTTACTCTCGAAAGCGAGGTTACTGACATTCTCTTATCCAAAAAGTATCAAACAGACTATTATTTTAATTACCCAAACTGCTAAAAATGCGAACTAATTGGTATAATATCTAAAGATTCTCTCAAAGTAATAAAAAAAGTGCCTTTGATTCCTATTTTAGATGCCCAAAATTACTGCAAAGACGACCATCATTAATTTTACTAAAAACTTAACGATGAAACAACTTTCCAAATGTAAAAGAAAGGCATAATATTATCCTAAGAACACCCTATACATTCAATCGTTCGTTTCTATGAGTCAAACCAAAGATATCAAAGTGGAAAAGTAGTCGAAAATAAATTAAAATTCTAAGAATAATACGTCCCATTAGAATTAATAATGACCGAACCGAAAATCGAGAAGATTAAATAAGTTAAAAAATACACGAAAACAACCGAAGAATTCAAAGAAAATATGCTTGTTTTAATCGCTTCTCCTGATCGATAAATAGACGGTTGTTTAGCCAAAATTATAGAATTTTAAAAAATCAAAAATAATTATTCTCCCGTTTAATTAAAAGTGTAAATTCTTAATAAACCCCTCTATTTAATCTACTCAAAAGAAAAATTCTGCCAATATACTTAAAATAAGGAATCTTTTTATACTCTATACTTTGCATGTGAAAGACTATAGACTTAACCTGAATTTCTATTAGAATTATTAGATTCTTTGCCTATTTTTATCGATAATAACCTATATTCGGCTTCAAAACTTCCCAAAATACTCGATATAGGCTTAAATATTATCAAAAGGGCTAAAGGATAGATAGTTCCTGAATTAGTACATGTACCTGAAGCTAAAATAAACGCTTAAGGTAAGGATAAATACACTTAATATAACAAACTTTCATTAAGTGAAAAAATACTGGACCTTTTAGTAGAATATAAGAAGAAATGCAAAAATATTTTTCATACAATTTCTCTATATTAAAAAGCGAAAATGCAATAAGGAATAAAAGCAAGAATTTCAGTTAAAGACTTATTCCCAGAATCAAAAGACGGAAATATAGAATGTGTAAAACTCTATATTTGGCTAATGCAAAAGGAAGAATCTTAATATACTATGTCCTCTTTATTTTCTTAAGTAATTCATAAGGAAAACATATATTAAATAGTTTAAGATTACGATAAATTAAATAATAATTAATAAATATAATTAAATAATTAGATTATAATAGATCCTAATTTTGCCATTCCTGCTAATTATGATGCTCCTGCTAAATTATTCTTTGAAAAATAACCTCATTATCATAGTTTGGGTGATCATGTTAGATATATAGGCACTTTTGGCGTCAAAACTGCACCATTTGGTCTAAATGGAATTGTTGTGGGTATTATAGATGATAAATTTGAAGTAGTATTTGAAAAGCCATTTGTTGGAGGAAATAATTTGGGCGGAAGATGTCCTCCATAGAGAGGTTTGTTAGTGGAATTCGATGAAATTTATAACTTGTAGGGTTGGGGCAAATTAACGAGAAAAAAAGATGAAGGAAATGACTAAAGTAAAGGCTGGGATGGATCCATTTGCTATTTTTACCCTAAATTCGAAAGGCCTATAGATAAAGATGATTTATAAAAAAATAGTAATGTAATTTATTAAAAGAAAACAATAAAAGAAGAAGATAAATAAAATAACAAAAATACTACATAAGAAGATAATATTAAAATTTAAGAATAATAACAAATAATATAGAAAACAGAAGAACATTAAATTCCAAAAAAAGAAGAACCTATGAATATTTTAGACTCATCGGAAATAGAAAAACAAATGTATTTATAATAAATTAAAACAATTAAAGTTGAAGACCTTGAAAAACAAATGGAAAATAATGTAGAAGTTAAAAAAAAAGAAAAGAAAAAAATTAAAATATCAAAGCCTTTTATACCAGATGAAAACTAAGATTTTAAATGTATTTAAAATATTTCTAATGAAGAAAATATTTAAAAAAAAGAGGAAGAAAAAAAATATGAAAATAATAAAGAAGATAGAAAGGAGGAAAAAAAAGAATAAAATATTTAATAAAAAAATAATTAATTTAATAATCTTAATATTTAATAATACTAAATGTATTAATATTACTTACAATTATAAATAGAAAATTATCAAAAATAAATAAAATAGTAAAACTAAGAAGAAGAGGCACAAATATTCGATATTGCATAATATGAAAAAAATAATGAAGATGTAACATTTGAAGATTTAGAAAAATAATATTTATAATCTAAAATAAATGAAAAAAAATGATTAAAATTAATATATAATTATTTTTATATTTATAAACTTTTTTAATATTTTTTTTAAACAAAAAAAACATAAATACATAAATATAATTAAAATTAAATTACATAAAATATCAATATTTACAATAAATATATTTAAAAAAATATTAAAATTTGATTTAATATTTGATAATAAATTAAAAAAAATTAAAATAAATAAGCATTAACAATTATAAAAATCTTTTAATATTTTATAATTATAATAAAAATTCTAATATATCTTTATTTTATATTATTTATATAAATAAATATATTAATTAGATAAAAAAATATTTAAATATATTTTTATCTTATATATGAATAAAGTCAAATTATAATGATAAAAAATATAATAGATATAAAAAATATTTAAAATATTCTTTATTATATAAAAATAAATATTTTTATAAACATATATTTTATTTGTTTAATGATTTTCCGTTATCATATGAAAATATTATAATTAATTCATATACAATTATTTTAATGTTAATAAAAATTATTTCATCAAATATAATATATAAAATGATAAATTTTATAGAATAAATTATTAAAATTATATTTATAAGTAAAATATAAAAACAAAAAAATTGTTTGTGATTAGACAGATTAAATCAATAAATATAAAATTGTAATATTCATTAAAATAAGTAAGTCATATCCTTTTTATAGAAGAGAAATAATAGATAAAATTAAATTAAATTCTAACATTAATAAATTGAATAATAAAAATATAATTAAAAAAAAAATATCAATAAAAAAAAATATTAAAATTTTTGTTTATTTAATTAGGTATAAAAAAAAATTATAAATATTATTATAAAAATAATTTATATATATATATATATATATATATATATATATATATATATATATTATTCATTTAATATTTTTATATTTTACTAAATAAATATTAATATAAATTTAAAAAAAAGTAAAATTTGATAAGATATTATTAATAAAAAATAATTACATTTAAAATAAAAAAAATTTATAAAAAAATGTTTAAACATCTTGAAAGTAACGAAATTCCAATTTAACTAGATGACTTACCAAATTTTAGAATAAAGATTCCCCTAAAAGATATATTTGCCAGTGACCTTTAATGCACTACCCAAGAAGGTTAAATTAACGTCGCACATAAATTTATTTAATAATTGGAAACATTAATGAAAGAAAATACAAAAGATTCTGACAGTTTATTAATTTTATATGATTACCAATTTAATAAAATATGTCAAACTGTTTTTAAAGATTCTTTATGGCCAGTCCCACATGTAATAGAAAATGTTAAAGAAATAGAATCGAACTTGATATATAAACTCTTTACAATGAATTATGTTATAGACACGCCCTTACTCGTTTAGCAAATAATTTCGATGTTGATTTAGTTAAAGAGCTTGGGAAAACTATTCTGAAATCTTTGACACTATTACAAATTCCTAAAGTGAATTTCCTCTTCCCACCCCTTGGATTTGGGACATAATTGACGAATATATTTATTAATTTTACATAGCTTGTAGATGGAGAAGATCTCTCAAATAAGACGATGAGAAGCTTAAACTTATTCTTCAAGGCACTAATTAATAAGACGAATAAGAATTCTGGAATCTGAAACAATCATTTAAACATTTCAAAACCTAATTTAACGCTCTAAATAATTCAAGACAAGAAACTTTTAGCCCCTGAAACATCCAGAATAACTACTTCTTAATATTTCGGATATTATTCACTTATTGGATTACTGCGTATTCACGTCCTTGTCGGAGATTACGAAAGTGCCGTAAAAGACATAGAAGCAATATCTTTGGAATCATTAGTTATTTTTTCGAAATCAATCCCAGCCTACTTATCTTTATTTTACTACGGAGGATTTGCATATTTAATGACCGGAAGTCAAAAAAAATAATCAAAAAAAGTAATATATATATATATATATAAATAAAGGTATAGAGAAGCTGTAAAAATATTCGAAAGCGCATGTTTAATGATGAATAAATACAAAAGCTTTTTAACAAAATCATTTTAATATGAAAACATAATGAAATAATTAGAAAAAACAGTATGTTTATTCGCCATAGCCCTCTCCTTTGCACCAAATAAGGATTCAGAAGCGATTCTATGGCTTTTTAAAGACATTTAATTGCGTTCATCTAAACAAAACTAGAACACAAAAGAAAAGTTAACAGAAAAATATGAAAAACTTAAAAAGTTTGACACTTAGACTTTCTTTGATTTCTTCAGTAATGGATGTCCTAAAATTATTACCCCAATTAAAGATATTAATGACTTCGTTTAAATGTAAAATAAATATGTTGCAGACCTTGTTAATATAACAAGAGATAGTCTTTTCAAAGGATTTTAATAAAGTTAGATTATTAATAATATTACTGAAGTTTTAAAATTGTATACTAGAATTAATGTAAAAAAAGCAGCTAATTTACTAAAAATAACTTCTGAAGAATTAATTGGATATATTAAAACTTATTAAAAAATGAACAAGTAAGAATTAAATACTTAATCTGCTTTTGAATAAACTATTTTAGCTATATTTATGGTACCTATTAATTCTTTACAGTTCGAAATTCAAGGTGAAACTATAATTATTAATGAAATTATATTAAAAAATGATTATGCAGAATAATTTTAAAAAATGAATAAAAAACAAAAGAAATAGAACAAGAAATTATATTATTAAAATGAAATATTTTGTTGATTTATTTTATATAATAAATATTATTTTTATAAAAAATATAATAAATAAATTAATAAAAAAAAGCAAATAAAATTAAAAAATTATATAATTAATTTTTATATATAAATTAAAATATTAAATATATATATAAATTAAAAATAATTATTATGTTAAAAATACAAAAATAATTATAATAATTATAATAATAATAATAATAATAATAATAATAATAATAATAATTAATAATAATAATTATAAATAAAAAAAA